CGAGTAACGTAAATGCTGGAAAAGTATGTTTAATGTTTCATCTGGGACTTGTTTTATAAATGCAGGCGTTACTGAAATAAAAGGATAGCCTGGGGCGGATAGTAGGTTTCATACTTGGCAGCCTGAACAATTAAAAATATTGTCTCCGAAGGCATCAACAGCATTATCAAGTGCCGCTGACCGCCGCGACGTCTGGCCAACGAGGGCCCATTCACTGCATTTAATCACTACCATCTACATAAACAAAAGTCTCTTCGTGGCTGGCAGCCATCATCCATTATGATTCGAGCTAAATTGCCTCGTCTAACTTTGCAATTAGTCGCCGTTTTTATAGTTATTTCAAAGTCCGCTCCATTCCCTTTTAGACAAAAGCGTTTCTAGATTTTACAGTTAATTGAGGATGTATTTAAAAAATATATATTAGAACTGTTAGAACCATATTATTTGTAATATAGTTAAGGGAAGTAATTAGGTTTATTCATGCAAATTATAAAACGTGAGTCACAAGAAATGAACAGTGTTTTAAATAACAAAGATTGGTGTTCGCCGCGTGCCGGGACACGGTCAGCGAAGCGTGATCGCCTTCCAAGGCTTTACAGCGATTTAGAGCCTAGCCTAAAGCAGTTTTATTACACAGACCCGTGTACGCTCGCCTCGACCCGGTCAACAGATTAGGTTATGCTACAGCAAGATTATGACTCATATTTCGTAATATGGCAAAAAAAAATTATTACCTCAATAGTCTGATATATGATCTCGATGACGTTAAAAAATGTTAAAGACCACCTAGTGATGCTTTCAGCGCAAGAGGGTCGTATCCCGCAATACATATTGAAAAGTTTCATTCGGGCGCAGCACACAAGTTTGGTCAAAGTAATAAAGTAAATGAAACCAACAGGAAGACAAGTGTGTTTTCTCCATGCCCCAAACAGGAGAAAACAGATTTTTCGTACACTAAATATAAGTTATATTATAATATGATGCGGCCATGTTATTGGCAACGTGCATATCCAGCCAGGAAATTTACAATGGCCTGATAGTGGTTCGAGCATGGAAACAAGGACACTCAACGACGTCACTGCACTTCAAACTGATATCCCATTCATGGATTACGGGCATACGGGCAGCCCTGCAGTTGCCAGCAAACACTATTCCCTATAATGGAATGAAAACGCCTATAGTGGGATGGGAACTGAACAATAAAAAGTATCTAACGCATTACAACGGAACGTAATCAATGGGCATTGTAGGTGCATTTTGTTGCCTTTGTTTGTCTATATACAAAATTGTTGTGGAAATCACTATTCGAGTTCCGTCGGATCTTGGCGTTAGTTTAGTAATATTTCTAACTATAGAATCTCTTTTCATGTTGTTACGCCGATTCAAAGTTTAACGCCCTCATATAATAAACTGCGAGCGTCGATTTAAATCTCACTGTAGGATATACATAATTTTAAACTACCGAAATTATAGTCAATACTTTTTTAACACAAAACCTTTAGGTCAAAGAAGGTTTAAGACGATTTTAAATGCAGATGACAACGGAATTTTGTAAAAAGTTGGTCGTTGTACCTACTTTACAATCGGCGTCTGCGATTTGTCAAGTAAAGGAAACTGGGAAATATTAAACCGACGTTTAGAATGTACTGTCGAATATCATGAGATTTGAAGCGACAAAGATATGTTGTTGCAATGTACTTTTTAAAAAATTACTTAATAATATTCTTATTTTAAATGGAATTAAGTACATGTATTTACCTTAAATATTAATGAAAACGCAATATGTAACATAAAAAACAAAAATCCCGCTTTTACCGCTATCCTACGGAAGACATATTTCGGTGTCTGTTTAATTGATTCGTCGATCAGACTTCTATGCCATTCCCAACCGAAACTGTAATATATGTATATTATATCCCCGGAATTAGAACGCTGTACTTCTTGTGGTAAACATAGAAGATAATGTGTTATTAAATTTGTTTTATATAAAACTGGGGTGAGTCATATCTGAGTGCACAATCGCTGATAATGGCGTGCAACCAGCGACAGTAAAGTGTGAAGGCGTTGAAAGAATTACAACAACTATTTATTTTATACGCGCAGGTAGAAGATGTAGGCACCTACAGCACGCACAGTTGACGCATCCTGTGCGATCTGCCGTCTGTGACGGTCCGTACGTTGAACTGTCGAGGTCACGACCATACGGTGACGTGTGATGACTACAGAACACATCATCCACCTAATACTTGCTAATCGATCTATAAATATCGCTATATACAACTGAAGCTTATATCTGTGTTTACATACATGTATGAAAAATCTTCTATTAATCTATGCGTTTTATGTAAGTAGCGCACATTATATGAAAACTGTCGGTAACGATCTGTTTATTATATAGATTAAACGAATCCTCCATTGAAGAGGGAGCTGAGCAACCGTAAAACATAAAACTTATTTAAATATTTAATCCAGAGTATTTCAAAGCGCTTCAAACTTTCTTTTCTTGAATTTCACTGCAAATCATTAAGAACTGGCGCTTGTCGTGCAGAAGCTGAAATCAGTCTAGGGCGAAAATTATAGTAGGTACGAAAGCTTGTCTCGAAATAAAATAAAAATAATTTTTCTCTTATTTCGTTCAACTCAGTACAGTTTTTAAGTGGAAGCCTGAAATGTACGGATAGTAAGCAAAAAAGGGTGCGTTTTATATGCCTGTGGATAATTTCAATTTGCTTTTGAATTCGGTTACATGGGACAGTTTGTCTTTTAGTTTTCGCTTCTGGCAAAAGTAAAAATCTATTAATAGAGAACAATTTGAAGTCGTATTTTCTACTTTTGGCAAGGGGTAATTCAATTTCCTTTCGTAGCTTTTCATTCCTACTTAAAACAACTAAATTTCAGTCTTAATTTCAAAAACAATTGACGGATCTACGCAATTAGAATCACAAGAGCATTGGTCGAGGTGTAATTACGTTGTTCCGTTGCTTCAACTTTATCCTGCACACTCGCAAGACTAAAATCTTAATCGTAATAAAAAAAAACCTAATGTACTAATGCTCAACGTAGAAACCCACACGATAAGGTAAATACATGTATAAAACTTTGTCATATTGATTGAGTTATTTATCCTTATAATACTTATTATTTTATATTCATTTTAACAAGTCCCATTTGTTACTTAAAACATACTTAAACTGGATAAAACTTTAAATTTGGTAATGTGTTTATATTAATTATTGAGCTTATGTATATATATTAGTTTAAGAGCCACGGAGAAATTACCACCTTATTAGTCTCGGATTTTCTATGCAAATCCGTCTTACTGATTTAATTAGGCAATCATCTGTGGTTTGATAAATCGAAATTAGTACCTATTTATTACGTTTACTTGGATTTCAAACTCACGCCCTGTCGCGTTTAACACAATACTAAGAGAATATAACCATAACACAAAGGAGAAGATAAAAATATAACTAAGTATATATAAAAATTGTTAAGTAATAAAATTTCCGCAAGACATCATAAATTTTGGTCCTCGCTTGACCGATACTTGGGACGAAACAAACGGTACTTGATTTAAGTAGCTTTTTTGTGCAAGTCACGCGTGTCCGATGGTGACTTCGACGAATAAATCACTTAAACCGAGAATAAACCGGGCGTAAGGTGTCAGCAATTGACTTTGTAAGATGATACTGGTATGCTGCAGTCAAGCTGAAAGCTTTGTTTTGCCTATACTAAGCTCAGTTACCCACTTCAATTTTTAATAAAACCTTCATTGCTAGCCTTCAATGCTTCAATTAAAAATATACCACAATCCTTTTTAATCCTTTCAATTTTACATATAATTTTATTGAATCCTTTAAACAACAATAAACATGCTATATAATACTTTTATTGTCAAGTAAATGATACCACTGAATAGAATTAAATTTTTCTAAATAGAAATTAGGTATATTTATTACATTTAATTTGCTAATAAAAATACTTAAGAACAGTTAAGTAGCAAAAATTTTGTTGTATGTTGTGTAGGCGTGGTTGTGATGATTCAGAACTGGTTTCATGTATTAAACCAATTGCTATGAGCAGAGTGTCTGTGAAAGTGGGGCAACAAGAATAATGGCCTACCAGATATTTTGTCTATAAACTTTTGATGGTTCAATGAGAGCTAGTGTGCAAATGACGATAGATCAATCTCAAAAGTGTACTTTTATAAACAGACCTTCAATAAAGATAAAACAACAATTATTTAATATTGTTCATAAAATATGAAATACTTTTTATATATATCATTTGAATGAAGGTTTCGAATTTTTATGATTTTTTTTATAAAATTGGAGAACAGTGTTCCTATATTAATAAAAGGAGTAAAAATTAAATTACTTAGTATGCAATATTTTCTTTTGTATGTGTAGAACGCCAGTATGCATGTAATACAATACTTATTTTTAAGAATGAATTTGCAGAATATAAAATAAAGTCACATGAGAATGTTGTAAGAATAATTGTACTTTAGGTCACAAACTATATAATTACCCTTACATAGTTTCCCCTTTTTTTTTCACAAATGTAGATAACATTGACAATTTATTTGTTAACTTATGTAATGATAATGAATATTAGTTCATAACACACAAACATTCCATGACATAAGAAGGTTGCCTTTAACAGTCAATGGCGGTTGCAATGAATGGTGTTTATTTTAATCAAATACTTATACAGATTACAATGATATATACCAATAGTAAAAAACACAATATTCAAGTTTATTTATTAAAATCACCAAGGTAATGGAGGCTCTAAATGTATAAAGGGAAAAAGTATTTCTATAAAGTTCAATTATAATTTACAAGTAACAAAGGTTTACTTTAGTTTTATTAATAACTTTAAATTGGACATAGTGTAGTGTACAGTTACCAACAGGAGCTGATTGACCACTGATTGCCACACAATGGTATATCTACTGACTAGTATATGAAGGTGTTGAAACAACAGTTATAACTTACCACTTTCTATGTAAGGCAGGGCAAGTAGTAGAAAAATTGTGTATCCAATTTCACTAAACATTGTCGCTTACAAACACACACACTTTTAATAGCACTAAGTCATTGCACACAGCTGATTTTTAAACCACACAAAACCTTTGTCTGTTTTCGATGGAGACGCATGCGCGCACAAACAAATTTTTTTATTTACATTACACCGAATTATCCTCTCACTAAAATATCTAAACAAACGCCACACTTAACAATTATTATTCATCTTAAAAACTCGTAATCGCAGCTTTGCTTTATTGAAACAAATAACAACAATTATTTCTTGCACTAACGAATTAACTACAAACATAACTTGAACGATGTTATAAGTAAAAAACAATATCCTTAATATTTAAATACATTGTGGTTTATATAATTAGTTCTTATTTCCCGCACACAACACATAGCCATCAAATAAAACAGTTATTTCTATTCTCCACCATCGTCCATCTCTTAACTGACATATTGGATTTATGTCGAAAGTAATGTTACCAGTTTTTATATATTTATAATTTGCTTCAGTAATTGTACTTGAAAACCATCATCAGAGGAATAATTAGAAAATTTGCTTAGAATCTTAGTATAAATATAGTAATGTATAAAGCTTCAGACTATTAGGTTTCGGTAAAAATATCTCATTATCTAGTAACATTTTTTTGTAAAATATGTTAACCACAGAATACAAAATGACTTGATGTCAATGACAAAGACTACATTATTCTGTTTTTGACTCAAAGAAATTGAATACACAGTTTTAAATTAATCTACGAAAGACTGAAACGCTTTGTTAAATTATTAGATTCCGATGCTAATATTGGACAATTTTAATTGAAGTTTTAAACTGTAAGAAATGTATTTCCTAACAGTTTAAAACTGGAATTATATTAATTAAATTATTATTATCATCATACATTACAATAATTTAATTTAGAGAATGCGAAATTTAAGTCATCTTAATATTAGCTACATTTAGGAATTTAACAATATATTTTCAAGTGTGTAATCAGAACAATTGCTAAATGTTAATTATTTATTACGCCATTTACCCAGCTGTGATTCGTACAAGAAAAACGTTTTTAATTCTTAAGCTTTATTAAAATAATATGTCTAATCTAATAATATACACGAACTTATTTGGCATATTACATTCTGAATACATTATCATTTTACAAGAAATCGCAATATTCAGAACTTTAATAACAAGGTTTATAAAAAGATACAAAATATTATTTTATATTCTTTAACTTATTTACTGTGACAAGGAACTTATATTTCATTGAACATGTGTGGCTATTAAGCGAATAATGTGCTTAACATGCTTGGAAGAAATACACCTTTTTCAGTTATAATTCCAGTTATGAGAGATGCAGGAGTAATGTCAAATGACGGATTCCAGCAATTTATGCCTGAAAAAATAGACAAGGATTTAAAACAACTACGTCACATTCCACGTTGATTACTATTATTTATTTGCAAATAGTGTTTAGGTTAGGGACAGATTTCGAGTTTCGGTTTTCCGTCGTATGGTAAATAAATACATTTACAGTTCAGCGCTGACGGATTCCGATGCTAATATTGTATTGCACGTATATAAGTAATGATTGGGCGAAATGGCGTTGAGAAATCACCCAATCTTCTATTGGTGTCCCCAAAAGAAAAAATAATATCAGTAATGATAAAAATATATTCATTATATAAGTTGTAAGTGAGTGTTCTTTTGTCTATCATATCAGCTATATATCATATATTATACCTGGTGCAGCAATCCTGCGATCACCAATATGTGTCATCTCTTTATCTGGTCGCTCCTCAATTTTGATGTGTTCCCCAGAGGGTATTTGCATATCAATAGAAGTAAATGGAGCAGCTACATAAAATGGTACATTGTGATATTTGGCCACTATGGCTATTTGGTATGTACCAATCTTATTAGCTGTGTCTCCATTGGCAGCCACCTGAACAAATTAATAACTGCATATAAGATTTATAACTTTACCAATATATTAAACTTTCAAATAATTTAAGCAAACAAAGTTATTAATAAGCAAATTAATCTATGATAAATTATTGTTTTCTTTATTTGAAATAATAGCTATTTCAGAAAAGCTTTTTGTTACAGAAAGTCAGGTTTCCCAAAGTTTAAATTCGAGACATCTCATGCTTAATGTAATGCTTGTAGCAAGCATGTATTGCATTAAGTATGAGATAAGCCAGGTATATAAATGAAAGTAGATTTTTTGTTTTACTTTTTGCAAAAGAATTAATTAAAGATATAATAAAATCATATTCAGAAGATTCTCTATTTGCTTCTTAACTACAATAACTGATTAGACCTTACCCTATCAGCACCGACCACAACTGCACCAATATTCCTTACATGCATAAGAGCAGCCACCATACTGTCCACGATGAGTGTGGCCGGAATTTTCTCGTGCACCAACTCAAAAGCTGTCAACCTAGCTCCTTGATTGTAAGGTCTGGTTTCCGTGCAGAATACATGCTCTAGAAGTCAAATCCACGGAGATTTCTGAGAGAAATTCAGTGACGCACATACGAAATATATTTACATTATTACACTTTATTATTATTAATTGACACTATGCAAAAAGTATTTAAGAGGGAATAAATCAAATTATTCAATTGGTAATAGTCATTTTCACATCTTTGGTTCTATATATAGATATTATATATAATAATGAAGCAAATTAATTATTATAGTCATGAAAACATTACTGGCTTCCATTCAATAAATCTAACAGCTGCAAAACAAAAATCATTTATCATATTAACTTTTTGTTTTATGTGTATACTGTATAGATTAGTATATATTAATTACTGCTTATTTTTGTTAGCAAAATTATTAAGAACAAAAAAATATAAAAATTCCACCATACCCAATCTTTTGGCAGCGTGTAGGGACCTGATCACTCCTAATGCAGTACCATATTCAGCTGTTGCTAATGAACCAGTGTTGCAATGTGTAAGTACCCTGACTTGCCCATCTCCTTCGATGTTCTTAAGAATAGCTTCACAACCGTATCGTCCTATTGCCTTATTATCTTCTATGTCTTTGCTCAGCATTCCTTCAATACTTGAAATAAATCTACAACATATTATCATAAATATTTAAGGATGAAAACGAATAATACAAAAGTGAATTGAAATTATTTCAATAATAATATTTTTAAGTATTAATTATCTAATATTTATTGTATTAGCATCTATCAACACTATTATCTTGTCATTGTGAATTAAGCCATAAATTTCATTGTACATTCCATGTTTACCAATTGTAAGATAGTAATATCGTACTATGTAGTTGGTAGATATGATTTTAGTGTCCTTGATAAAGCCAAAAAGATATTTCAATTAAAACTAAAATAGCTTCACTTTTCATTTACTTAATGGATTATTGTAAAATGTGCTTTAAAAATAAACCTCTCTTTGAATTCTTCAGATGTGACAGTCTCATCTGCACTCAATGTGTTAGCCAAACTTATAAGTTCATCTGCAGCCAATTTTATGTTTACAGCTGTCGGACGTGCAGACACCAAGTAGTTGAGTTTGCCTTCTATCTGAAATTAATATTGATTGGAACAATTGCAATAATCATATTAGTACACAGATTATAATACTATAAGACATTTATTTTTTGTAATTGCTGTGCATGGAACTGTAAGACAAGCTACCTGTTTTATACTGTCTATAGTTTATGTGAGTAATACACATTTAAATAAAACACTTTAACGGTTTAAAACGCGATATATTAGTTAAACTTATTTGAAAATGATTTTTAACTTCGGCCCGACGTTTCGGATGCTTTGCAGCAGCCGTGGTCACGGGGAGACACTCCCCGTTTTAAACCGTTAGTGTTTTATTTAAATACCTGTTTTATTCCAAAAATATATATTTTTTTCTTACTGTTCAAATTTATTACAAGTGTATAATCGATCGAACGATAATCAACCATTTTTTAAGATGAAATCTCCAACTGAATAGTAAAATATAACAGTCAACAGTAGTACAGTGATACATTTCTCAGAAAATAAAATCTGTGATATACCTACTATTTGTGTTGAAAAAAAAGAGAGGGATAATAGTGTCTGCATACATTTGGTCCTATTTGTAACTCCCATGGTTAAGACCAACAATTAATAATACGAGGAATAAAACTAATCAGTTGTGCTGTTAGAATTAGATAACACTGACCTCTTGCCTCATCACTTTCTTGTCAGAACTGTTATCATTTAACAATTCTATAGCTAATGATAAGCAGCCTATAATAGCTATGGCAGGGGCACCTCTCACCTGAAAAAAACATTTAAATTTATAGAATAAAACTACAGAATCATTAATGAAATTTCTTTGAATTTTATACAAAAAATATTTGTGTATATGTCATTTACTTAAAATTATGAAAAGTAACTTTGATCAAATAAGCATACCTGCATTTTATTAATAACTTTCCAACCATCTTCTACCCCTTCAATTTTTACATACTTGGTTTGAAGAGGAAGTAGTAGTTGATCCAAGACTTCGAGATATCCTCGCTTATATTTAATTGATTCGAGACTCATTTTAAATACAACACCAATAAACTTAGTACCTAGGAACTCACCGGATAAAATAATATAAAGACAAATTCGTAAACTGAAAATAAAGACACTTAAGTATGTAATAATATGGTGTAGTTATTACATAATTAGTTGCTGAAAGCAATATGAGTGCAAAACTAAACAAAAATACGGTTTCCCCGCTAAGAAACCCCTCATCTTTGAAGTAATTTTCGCATTCCTAGTCCGGCCCAGCTGTCTGCTTAGGGTTATTACATACAAATTTCAAACTTGCCAGAAGCGAGCGAGAAGCAACTTGAAACGTCGAAAATTACTGATACATAATATAAGAAAAGTGAATTTAACAATAACATCCTTCTATGGTACGTACCACAGATAGATAAACCAATAGAGCAATGTAATGAAAAATGAAAAGAAAACGACATATTTTTATAAAAAAAAATATTAGTCTTATGTTAAAAATTACTACATTATTATATATATATATATATTTTTTACCAATAGTTATTATTATTATTTAATTAGAGTTTTTTTTTTATACTTAAAGATTAATAGAAAATTTATCTCAATGCCATAGGCTATCAGTTGTAAGATTCTGTGGTTTTGAGCTTTAGAACGAACATCGGAAATTAACACATTTATTGTGTCTATGGTCTTTTTTATTTCCGCCCGGCATCGACGAGAGACGCATCGTCATTGTGCCGTAATTAAAAAAGGTGACTTTGGAGTAGTACTGAAGAAGTTAGCAAAATGGCTTCACCACGTGTTTTTATGGATGTGACTGCTGACGGTCAACCTTTAGGGAGAATTGTAATTGAGGTAAGTTTTCTATTAATATCAATTACGACAGGTTGCCACTTAGGGAGTTGTCATTCCGGCCGGCGTGATTCTTCGACCACGCTATCTTAAGCTACCTATATGTTTTACCAATTTTCTATTTTTTAGATGGGAGCTTATTTAGAAATATGTAGTTAGTTAAAAATAGTAACTTAGATTTAAGGTTGTCTTAATTGATATAACTAAGCGATTAATACGTTATAATATCGACCTAATTAACTCGATATGACCGTGATTGTTTTCTGAAGGTCAGTTCCTTTGATGCCTTTATAGGGTTTTATTTAATGGAATTTGCAGAGATAGTGTGCATATGTAAAGATTTCATTGTTAGTGATTCACAAGCGAATGATATAAATCTTCCTCTTTAAAATGTAGTCTCAATTAATAAATCTGACTTACAACAATATTTATTAGTATATATACAAGGTCCTATTATTTATTTACAGTTGAAAGCTGATGTCACACCTAAGACTTGTGAAAACTTTAGAGCATTATGCACTGGTGAGAAGGGCTTCGGCTACAAGGGCTCCACCTTCCACCGTGTCATCCCTAACTTCATGCTCCAAGGTGGTGATTTCACAAACCACAACGGCACTGGTGGAAAGTCCATCTACGGAGAGAAGTTCGCTGATGAGAACTTCGTCCTCAAGCACACTGGCCCCGGTGTCCTCTCCATGGCCAATGCTGGACCCAACACCAATGGCTCTCAGTTCTTCATAACCACTGTCAAAACCTCCTGGTTGGACGGCAGGCACGTCGTTTTCGGTAATGTTGTGGAGGGTATGGACGTTGTCAAGAAAGTTGAAACCTTCGGCTCTCAAACTGGAAAGCCATCCAAGAAAGTCATCATCTCCGACTGTGGTCAACTGTCTTAAGTAATAATGTATTTATACGCAATACTTTAAGTTTAATATTAAAGTCCTCCTATATACCTTCCCGATTGATAATATCTGTAAAGCTCTGTTGCGGGTCATTCCAGTTATGGTTAAATTGATTAACTAGGTCGCAAATTGAATATTGCATTTATTTCTGTGCATTGTTTATTCATAATAAATTAATTAACTTATAGTTGTAATTTTTTTTACTTATATATCCCAATTCATACAATAATAAAAAAATATTCAAGTAAAAAAAAAATTTAAAAATTTGCAGCAAATTAAAAATTCCAGGTTTGCTTGATTATCATTTTTGTATGGTAAAGATATAATGACAAGAAATAAATTATGTTTCTTAAGCATGTGAATTAACCATTCTTTTGTATCAACACTGTTTTTCAAAGGAAAACGAGTCATGAAATAAAACATTGAGTCATCGCACGCGAAGGTGGTCAATTAATGGGAAGGTCAGTAGAATCACGTGGGTCGTAAATAAATTAGATATGTACGAAGCTTAGAACTATCGAATGTTGCTTTGTTTTAAGGGCTTGTGCTAATCTCTAATAACAAAGCTATCTAAGCTAAGCTATAGACTCACAATTATTAAGTTAAATTTAGCACTTATAGATTGTAGACGAGGGAAGTTCTTGATAGAGATCGACGTCAAGATCTATGGTAAACCGCATTATTTGCTAGAAATAGGTCTAAAAAAAACTAACGTGAAATATTAAGTATAGTAACATTGATCGAATACTTGAAATAATATGAACGCCACTATCTGTCGTTATAATTTAACATTGCTACCTATTAACAACTAGGCGTTAAATCGCAACAGACAACATTACACAATGAAGACACATTACTGTGTACTTTGAGTTGATCAACCACACATGGTGATCAGTTTTTTTGCGCTACTTGACAACTGAAACAATTTCTTCTGACTATATTTCTGCTATAAGTCTGGCTTTTGAGCCTCACAGTAAGTTGAACAAAATCACGGCGCCATGAAAAATCGATGTCGTGTTTATCAAACAGATAAGCTGTTAAAAATTCTATGAATTTTCTAGTTTGCTTTTACATAGCTTAGAGCCTGCGTCATGCAAGAATTGGTTAGGTATATGTTTTCGTTCACCTTATATGACGAAAGTTAAAAATGTAAATAGATTTTCTTTTACTAATTAACTTACGCCCTATATAAAAATACCTGAACCCTATAAAAATTCATACAGTATTAAAGTATAAAAAAATATACAGTTGGCACTGGGTACACTTTCAAGTGTACCCAGTGCCAACTGTATATTTTTCACATCTACATTAATACTTTACGATAAGTACCTAACCAAAAAGTTATAGATAAGAATTATAAAGAAAAGTCACAGTATTTCATATAGCTGTATTCATCTAACTATTAATGATATATTTGTTCAAGTTCATAAGAGAAAGTGTCAGGATAGTGCCGTGTAAGAAGTGGGTCATTCCACAAGATCCATAATTGCACAGCGACGTGGTGCAACAGGAGGTGCAAGCGTATAGTTTGGTTCTTTCTCCAATCACGATGCAACCAGGTTCACAATGTTTTGTACAATTCCGTTCAAGTGCCCACATCTTCAGAGCAGTCGTCGAGTTTTCCGTGGATGTTGTATACGAGAAACGCTTGACCTAAAATAACAAAATTTTAACATAAATAAAACTATTATTATACAAACTATATAACTATAATTAGCCATCTCCTTCCTTTTAATCTATCTGAAATGTAGATACTTCAAAGTTAGACTAACTTTATTAGATTTTCAAACTACGCTATAGGATAATATTATGATTCTCAGAGCGCAACCAATAGTAAGTCAATGGTGCTCAATATTCTTTAGATATGAACCACACTGCTAAAGTAACCTGAAAAGAGTTTTAATTTTCAGATATAATGGAGTTATTAAAACGTTAATTGCGATGGAAGTCAGAAGATCTAGTAACGGGTAAACTACATTATAATAGGGCAAAAGTTTGTTCAATATTTAAGTTTAATAAATCAATTAATATTTTTGTATAAAAATAATTCAGATGATATATGAATAGTTACATCTTAAATACTGTCTATAGTTTACGCGAGTAGTACACATTTAAATAAAACACTTTAACGTTTCGGATGCTTTGCAGCAGCCTTTGATTTGTGGTCACGGGGAGACTGCTGCTGCAAAGCATCCGAAACGTCGGGCCGAAGTTAAAAGCCATTTCCAAATAAGTTTATCTAATATATCGCGTTTTAAACCATTAAAGTGTTTTATTTAAATAGTTTGATTGTGGTTGTATGTACACGCTAATCTCCAAAAGTACTGCGTCGTTGAATGATATATTAAGCTAAGTTTAACGCGTCGAGTCTAATATAATAGAGAACTTTATGTTACGGAAAGGCACCTTAAAGACAAAGTCGCAAACAAAAGTTATGCGTAGTAAAACTTACCATACACACTCGCCTATCATTATTGCACTTGTGTATAAGAGCCGAGTTGTTATGGCGTAAATCGGCGCACTTGTCATCTGGGACATCTGCGTGGCATTTGTAACACCAAAGCTCATTGTTGGGTCTTGCTGCTGCCGATGTTACATGCACGCTGTCTCGGAGCAGATCACTCTCGCCTAAGAATAAAAAAAATAAAATCTCGAGACATTTTCAAAACATGTATGTTTTTAGAATACAAATACAAAAGAAGGAACATATCTAGAGCTGACAGGTATTTTATATTATATAATTTTACAGCATTATAGCGGCTTAAGATGACGGTTTAGTATTAAAAAGACTTCAAAACGATTAGAAATAAACTAAAAATCGAACTTGACACTTACTTTTCCGAAACGCGAAAACGTCTTTTGTCTATGGCAAGGTACGTTTAAGCCACTAAAATTCAATCTCCGAGGGTTTTTATATGCTTAGCTAATTTAGATTGTCATATTAGTGTCGTGTCATGTGATAATAAAGAAGATTTCGGCTAAAAACATTTGTTTTGACGTACCTTGAGTGAAAAATGACAGCGCTAGCAGCAGCACACGGCGCATGGCTGCCGAGATGTTGCGCGCATGAGCCAGCTCAGCATCCGTATTGATCAGAGTGACCTGTTGCTCTCGATTAGCCCCGCCCAGGTAGACCCCCCCTCCTTAAGAAAAACAATCTAAACTTTCCCAAATCTTAAGGAAATTAAAACTTTTGCCCTACTCGCTTGACGACCCGCTTTAGGCGTTTATTGAAAATTGCTTAAACTTAATAAAAGGGCTTGCTATTTCTGATAATTCTACATTCTCTTTATGTATAAGAATAAGAACATTTTTTTTTGTTACAGTAATGATAGTAAATTACATTGTAGATCGTAAAATTTCGATCGTTTTAGTAGTTACCTTGTTACACGCTGTTAGATACCCGTATCTACCAAGCTCCGTCTAATTATTTGCCATAGGATAACATGTTGTATACTAAGTAAAAAAAAAAAATACTTCTATGACCGTTGCTAAAAAACATTAAAAGCAGATATGCTTTTCGCCGTATATTATATATTGTGAATGTATTTTTTTATTCAAATGTTAATAGAGCTTAAATTGAATTACTTTTTTACGGTCTTTAGTTATTTGGGCATTCGTTAAGCAAGTTTTCATATTTTGATTTCTGAAGAATATTTAATTTCAATTTGCCCAAACCCTCGTGGCTGTATAATTTTCTCTTTAACGCGCTGTCGTGGGCTTCTGGGCTGTCTGTAAACAAACAAGAATAATTAGTGTGGTTTACAACAAAATTTAAATGGCTCTATCAATTTGTGTGTTAATTATTTTAGCGCGTATTTGAAATGATAAATATATGTGTTGCGGATGTGGTAGGTGTTGGTTTTCCGGTGGTAAAAAACATTATGACATTTTATTTATTTTTAACTTAACGAAAATATTTACGAAAAGGTAGCTCAAACAATCAAATGCTCTACACCATGATGCCTTATTTTTATAATTCAAAATTCGTAAGTTGATTTTATTTTAACTAGACGAAGAGGTGCATGTATCAAGGGGTTGAAATAATCGACATTGACGTGTAGGACTCGGTAGTTCAATTAGTCATAGCAACAACACGGAACGCTGTGGATGCCGGTTCAATTCCTGCCCGACTCGGAAATATTTATTTCTCATTTTTTATTTATACAATTTTAGACTATTTCTCGTGCCCCATGCCCGAGTCGTAAATATTTTCAATTTATAAGAGATTTTTAATGTAATTACACGAAATTTAAAAATATAGAATTAAGTAATGAAAATAATTGTCAAAGAGTAGAAATGTAACCATCGTTAGATGGAATTTTATATTTTGTTATTTGCTGCTTTAATTATATGTGAAGATAATTTGTGGTCTTAACAGAATATTAATAATGTCCGGTGCCATTGATAACAGATATACGAGTTATTTCGATTAAGAAGGTATAATTACAAAAAATATGTAAAACAGTATTTGGTTTCCATTGAAGCAAAAAACACCGTTGTTCTATAAAACAAACAGCTTTCCCATCTAAGCGTATTTGCTGAAAGCCCGCGCCGAGTGTTATTTTTCCAATACATCTAGCGCTTTAGGAAAACTGATTTCGATAGGGAATTTATGTTGGGTATAATAGTAACTATTTAAGGCAGTTGTCCCACTGCCGGCAATGATGAAAACTAGTATCTTTGAGTGAGTTTCTTGGCTAGACGAATGCCTAGTTTGGATATTTTTTGACAGTTTATCAGTCTAGTTTACTTTTAATCCTCTTCTGATAGTCGTTTTCTCGCCAACCATGGTACCACAGCCGAAGTCACAGATTATGTAATATAATAACATATAAGCATAACAATCTTCACGTTTATGCTAATACACTTTTCACTTCGACTTGGATCTTGTTGTTTATGTATAATCTCTATGTGTGTCTTTATCTGTATAATATATAATCTGTATAATTAAAATGCGACATGTTTGACGCGCCAAAATTAACGTTAAGTATAACTCATAAATTATTGTATCTTATTAGTAGACAACATCCGTTTGATCATATTGAGAGGAGGTATTTTATTCTTGGTTTATTAGTTTAAGTTTTTAGCAGGTCGTTACATTGATATTAATATAACTGATAATAAAGGTTTTGGGTTCAATTCAAGTTCCAATGTTCAGCGTTTTTTAAATCAATCATGAACGTATTTGACCGAGCCTCTAGAAAATTTGGTAATAGGTGGGTGAAAGGAAATTCAAAGATTTTGGAGCCAATGTTCACACTTGGAAAAGGCTTTTCGGCCTATGTTTTCCCGAAAGTGCAAAGCAAATAAAGGTCGGGAGAGCATCTTAATTAGATATATAGCTGGGCCACTTTCACCTTACTTCAGGCAAATGAATACAAAAAAATAATACTTTTTTGTATATCGTACTAAGTCTGACAAACCTATACTTTCCATTTTCCTCCCTTTTTATACAGTGTGAAGGCATTCTGTTCTTTAGGTATTAAGCACAGTTTTAACTCGAAATATGTATAACGTAATAGTCAAATAATTAACCTTGCTTATTATAGCTTCTCATTTTTAATAAATCAATAATACCAAAAAGTTATCTATATTACTTTCGTATTATTAAAATTAATAACAAAATATATTCATAGTCCAAACTTTTACATTATTGCTTTAATGACTTTCGTCTTGAAAGTTCCCACTATCACGAACTCCCAAATTGACCTAAATAATTTGAAACTATTGTCATAGCCTAGTTTAATTGCTCAAAAGGGTGTACTTTAGTGCCTATATTTTATTTACAATTTATGTTATGAGAGAATAGAAGGACTGTTACTATTACTATATGTACTTGTGATGTTAATGAACAGTCCGTCGTTACTAGGACGGGCGCCTCGGTGTAATTGTAGCAGTGTACGCTATTAATCAACGGGTCGTGGGTTCGACTCCCACTGTGTCAAAAATTTTTCTAATCAATTTATAATTTTTCTGAAACATGTTGAACTTCGTCTGGAAATCTGGATTTTAATGAGTGTTTGGATTATCGAATTTCCGTCCATGTTTAACGAACCACCGTCCACAGTTAAAAAGCCTAGAAGTTAATCACGTTTCGGTTTCAGTCTTATAGGTCGACAGCGCACCTTGTTTAGATGCTATAGGCTGCGATATTTCACCGTCCATCAAGTTAACACCATGCTTGACTGTCTTTCTCTATTATTAAAAAAAGTTTGCTTAAAGCTAAAGGTCAGCACGACATGTGCGGTTGAAAATATTCCTCATTGCGTGTTTAAGATATTTCTTTACATGTCTGTGGTCGTTAACAAGGTGCTTAAAAAGCAAGTGTTAAGGTTACAAAGCATTGCGCATGTATCGACTCAAATCGTGTAAAAAATTCGACAATGGCGTGTAGATCACGGTACCTATCTCAATTGGTTAGAGCAACAGCACGGAACGCTGTGGATGCCAATTCAAGGTCTGCCCGTGTAGTAAATTTTTGTTATTTTAAAATCGATTTTTAATTTATATAATGTCATGTGTAAAAAAACAACATGTGAAAAATATTAATTTTCAAAGGCGGTGGATTTCTTGGGATGGAGTAATTCTGAACCCTGACTTATAGGCGCATTATTTGAAGGAAGTCAAAAACCGTATCACCGCTAAATAGGATTACTGTCTACTGTATCATTCAGTCATTCAGATTATCTCCGTCACGTAATTCAGGCTAGGCGACTGTAATATATTAATTGGTTCATCACAGTTGAGCGGAGACGTAATCGAATTAAGTGAGCCTTGGGCTACCGCTACGGCTATAAGCACAGAAGCTAAATTAACAGTTGGGACAAGTACAATTCTTTATTGAATATTAGTTTTTTTTTATCTGAGATTACTTTTTAAAGTAGTTATTTTATTTAGTATAATGCTTTAATTAGTACTCCTTTGTCCCTTAACTACCTAGTGAAGCGTGAACATTTTATCCCTTGACATTTATGATTATAATTGACCCTTAACAAAATTGGTTCACCTACCAACTGGTGTATTATTTATTGCCCTTACGTGTTTTCGACTAACATTTGTTAAATATAGGTATACAGTTTGTATATTTATTATTTGGAAGTGGTTTAAAAATGATAACGCTTTCAACATCGATAAAAATTTTATTGATAAAAGGCGTACGGAGGACACCTCGATTATTAAGCGTACAATTCTCCCGACGTCCATCTTTACAATTGCTATATACGATAATATTATCCGTACATACATTATTAACATCGGATTACAATACACAGACTTCAAGGAGACAAGGCGGGAAGGGGTAAAGGCGCGCGAGGAACCGGCCTCGAAGGCGGTCGTGGAAAGTACGCGCCCCATCACGAATAACTTACATTCATCTATCTAAACATTTAATCACTAATATTAATTTCTTTACAATCAAAATAGAATTTATTCTAAAAATATTAATGCTGAGCCAGGGCAAGTCGTGAGTCGACTGGGCACGACTGACGCTGGCGTGCATGATCTATCACATTCAGAGATTCATAAAGTTAACATGGTCTAATAAGATCTTTCTTCCCGAAGCGCCAATTAGAAGTCACAACCAGAACCTCAAATACAGCTTGCACTGGTCTTCGGGAATGCTCTATCTCATTATACCATGTATTAAGGTAAACGTGCAAAGATTATTCACACGCGCACAATTTTTCAGAATATGAAACAAACATTTATCTATGTAATATAAGGGATCTGCAACGTTTACACGAAAAGATCTTTTAATGATGAGCATATTGATGCCTCACAGCCTCCTGTACCATCGTCTTCCTCGGGCTTACTGATAAACCAGCGCTCACCTTCCTTGCTTGTACTTGGTGCATCCCTCAACTTCAAGCGATCGTCAGGTTTACTCTTTGTTTCCTTGACGATAGCGGTAGTAGATGGCGCCGGAGAAGCAGTGCTGCTCCTCCTCAAAAATACCTCTATCGCGCTACCCAATGCACTAGCATCGACAACCGATCCTGTAGGTTTATCCCATACAACTGCTGCGGTATCACCTGGTGCTTTCTTTGAGTCTGGCGCAAACGTGACCTTTAACTTCTTAGCTTCGTTTTCTTTTTTCTTTGTGGCTAGTGTTTGGTGCCTACGAGTAAACCAAGTTGCGCCGTTTTCCGAGAGGTTCTCCCGCAATGTAGATGCATCGAAACTGCTGGATCTCATATCAGAAAGAAGTCTGGTACGCTCCGGCTTTCCGCAGCGGTCGATCTCTGTGGCGGATGAAGTGAGTGCGTTGAGCATGTGTTTAAGATCCGTATCTGTACAAATTACCCCAACATTGCTTCGAGGTGGAATGGGAGGAGGTGGTGGCATTTCTGATGCGCGACGACGGGCCGGTATGGGGGGCAAGGGCGAACCTACGAAGTCAGAATGTCTGCGGCCGCGGTTAGTGTATCGAATAGACCCGCTTATCGGCGACCGTTCATCAAGGGGCTGCACTTCGCAAACTTTCTCACTGGATGTATTCCATAGACGCATGCGCACTTTTCGAGCCTGAACTATGTCATCCATTATGTCTAGTTGCAAATTGTGAGTGCTTCCCAGAGTATCAGTTGCTGGCGGAACTGTAACAGTTTGACAATCATTATCTTTAAAATAACAGGTTTTAATAAATTAAATGTTACATTGGACATGTGTAAAGTTACATTTCTTAGCCCCAGATCCTCGACGGCTGAGGGCTGGGAACGCTGCGATGGACTCTCGCCGCCCTCTGCCAAATAAAGATTGCGGCACTCGTGATATGGTCACCACAGAATGTCTGGAAATTTTGAGATTAAAGTAACATTAGACATTTTTTAAATTGAAGATTTTTAGACAATGGTGGGAGTGGGAGTCGGGATAGCCCCGTAAACACAGATACTGGATATTATTCCAACCATCATGTCGTAGTTAATCATCCATTATCTATGCAATTGTATATTAGTTATATATCTATACAGTGCACGTCTTAATCTATTTAAATAAGTTTTACTTAATAGGTAGATTTACATATAAAATGTGTACTTTTTAGTAAAAATTAAAGATATTTAATTTTATGAATTACCATTGCAGTTATCAGAACTGAATATATGAGTCTGATGATGAACATTAAATAACTCAGGATAAAAATAGTAAAAAATGGAGTTAATATCTACTTACCTCCTGCCACCTGGTTGGGGTGGAGCTTGGCTTAGTGTGGCCAAAAACGCAGCTTCACGAGCTTCCTTAGCAGCACCTTCTCCTCGTTCAGATAGACGGCGCACCTGTTAATGTGTTAATTAAATTAAATAATATTCATTCTCATCATTCTTCAACCATTACCAAATATATTATAAATACATAAAATACATTTTCGAAAAGCCAAGAAACTCATTAAATACCTGGCTAGCTGTAGGTCCGCTGGTGCAAGCCGGAGTAGGTAAGGAGTGCTTGCGAGTGTCTCTCCAAGGAGAGAGATGGTACGGATCGGGGGGTGACTCCTGGTCCTCAGACAGTCCGCGAAGTGGCGCGGCGTAGCGCTGAGGAGACTCAGACTCTTCGACACCGCTCTCCTCAACCACGATTAGTGGTTCGCCGCCACCGGCCATAGCCATTGAACCACGCCGCATTTTTGCTGTAAAATGATTAATTTATAATATTAAATATCTGGGCTCTACCATTCATCGTATTATAAAAAATATTTTTTTTACGATAAATAATATACAAGACCTTATTATTGGGATATTATTATTATGAGACCCTTATTAGAACAATATATGTAATAATTATCTATTATAATAATTATTTATATTCACTTTTACATCGCACTCCCGTCCTCATTATTCAAAGGAGCTTTGTCAGATTTTACAGACTGCGTAGTTTTAGCGTTTCGGTTTGATTCAGCCAATTTGCATAAGGAGCTTATTAAAGTGAGCTGCTTCTGAGATGAAACTGAATAAATTATTAGGCGCCCTTTCTTCCTCTGAAGGTCATTATTATTAATTTTATTAAATAAATTTATGTATTAAAGTAATCACATTATGTTTTTTCTATCGGATGTTCCGCTAAAATTATAACAAAACTCTGTAATTCCATTTCAAATATATGGATTATCACAGTTTGTTTTTTTGTCGTATCAAATCAGTTAAATTTCTTAAGGGGATGTTCTTTCCTTTTCCTACTATCTTCAGGCCCTCGTGATCACGGCTGCTGTAAAGCATTGAAAACGTCGGGCCGTAGTTTATACATTGTAAAAAGATGGTATATTTTACAGTATATAATAAATTTTATTTCTTTATTCATTTATTATTTCGTAAAGCTACAATGAATCGTTTATATGCAAAAACAATTATCCCTATTATGAAATCCTTTAGTCTGTCAATCAAATTGATTGAATCTTTATTTACATACGTTTCGACTATAAATTTGAATTGCTAAAAAGCTGAAAACATTTGCATAAATAATTGTTTTAAATGATATTTTAATGTTAGTAAATGTTTTGCTATTTAATAATTATTTTAAAATTGAAGCTGTCTTGCAGTAGATATACTTGAAATAACTACAATATATTTTAAACGCGAAACATTAGTTACTACATCAAGAAACGTTAGTTCATGTTTAGTTAGTTAGGTTACATAGTTAATTAATTAGTATTTTAGGTTAATATTTTATGTCAGTTAAAAATATCTTATATTCATAAGTATGCACGAATATTATTTTTGTCTCAAACTACAAAACTACATAGACAAACGCTTCTAAATTAAGATTTTCACGATATTTAATCGATGCTGTAAAAACTATAGATATGGCTACAGTTACAAAAAGAGCAGAACGTTTCCATATCAACAGGTAGTTTGTCTGTGACCCACTTAAGTGACCTCGACCTGACGAAGAGCGCTCTTCGGTGGAAAATTGCTGAATGTTACCCTCTCCTAGGCTTTTATTACAGCTACTTAGCTTCTCCAATGCGATCTAATTTATTAGTATTTAACTGCCCTTATTATACTATTAGAACTAAAATGGTGTAGGTACTTTTGACTAATATCTCAAAAAATACATAATTTGAATGGCCTAAAAATTATCGCTTATTAGCGAAAAGGTCATCCGTTGCTGCTCATACTATGAACATAAGTTGCTTATTGTCTGCAAAAACAGACAAAAAAAAGAAAACAAAAAAGCCCCGTTTTTTATTTTTTTACTTGTTGCGTTGTTGTTGCCAAAAAATGATCTTCGAGAAGAAGAAATAATATAATATTCTTAGCTACATTTTCTGAACTTCACTGTAGTACACTAACTTACTAAGACTGCTAAACTTTAGCGTTGCTTTTTATAAAAAACGTAATATACTAATTTCACGTTTTAAACCGTTAAAAGTGCTTTATTTAAATGTGTACAGACAAGACTTAAGGTTATTTAAATGTACAATTCTGCTAATCAGTTATTCGTAGTTGTAACCCAATTACTGTATTTTAAACGTTTATTATTCTATCCATTCTTGGTAATAAAACTTAATATTCTCACACTAAGCATTTCTATAAGCGTCTTTTAAAATGTCTGACTCCTAGAAATTTTCTTTTCAGAGAAAATTTGCGTTCAACTCTTTGTTCAAACCTAGATCTATCTTTGTCTAAACTTTACACGTTCTGGGAAAGTATTCGCTTATTGTTGAACACTCGTTGTGTCGGTCCGCGATACGTTTTACGAAAGCCGAAACACTTAAGTGAAAAATAAAACTCAAGGGAATAAAAAGCTTCTCTTTGCTCATATTTTTGTTGTTGAATTTTATTAAGCTCGCTTGTGTTTATTTGCGAAGTACCTTTTCTAATATTTTTAAAAGCTTTGTAAAATTTAAATTTTTTTTCGCCTCGGGCAGGACTTGAACCGGCATCGCCAGCGTTCCGTGCTGTTGCTCTACCAATTGATACTCGGTAGCTCAATTGGTAGAAATTTTTTTCAATTTATTTTCGTTTTCTTAATTATAAAGTGCCTTCGTGTACAAGAACATCTAAAAAATAATAAAGTTTTCAAAAGCTTTGTAAAACTTAAAATATTTATGTGCGCATCAAATATGTACTAGCTGTGTCAGCGATTTCGTCCGCGTAATTATTTTGAGCATTAAAATTGACCACGTCCAACGACGTCGGTTGAGTCCCTCATTCGAGCAAGTTAATATTAAAAGATAGACAATTAGTGGCACGGACATTTTTTTAAATTATTTATAGAGGAATCATTGTTTGATACATCTTTTTTGGGTGTCTTGAACCGTTTTCGCAGTGTACGAAATAGATATCCACAAAAGTGTATAAACTCCCCCATTTTCTCTACATTACCCACTTTTTCTTCTCTGCCTCAATACATGCTCTAACCAACACAAAAATAATTTTTCAAATCTGAGCAGTGCCTAGTTCCTGAGATTTGCGCGTTCAAACAAACAAACATTTTAGATTTATATTAGGATAGATTACCGATTTTTTTTGTAAATAAACAATGATAACTTTTTTTCTGTAAAAGAATAGCAAGATGTAGCAACGTTTATGTCGATATGTTTTCGTGGTGTAATTAAAAGTTTTATACAACTCCAGTTCGCCGTACTTGAACAAAGCCTCCCCATTTTGTCCAACTCCACCTTTTGTGTCTCTTTACTGGGGCATTAGATATATTGGACCCGGACTTTCAAAAGTTAGTCGTTATTATCGCCGTAAGTAACAGTTTCTTGGAGGGAAACCTTATAGATATAAAGTAACTTCTTCTATACTATTAGCTCTGCCCACGATTTCGCCCGCGAGAAATTATCTTAGGCATCATGTCATTTATTTATGCAAACAACTTCCTTAGCTTTATAAATTACAGCTGTTATCCATGACATCGCGCGTCTGTATATGTAAGAAAAATATCGACAAAAACGCGTACAAGAAAAGAGTAAAAGGGTCCACAAAATACCTAGTTTATATTTTTAATGTTTGTCTGTATACGCCTGCTATATACTAAAATTCTGCTAATTGTTATTTTTGTAGTAACCTTTTTGATTTTCCAATGGGTTAAGCTAAACTTGGATTTATTGGTTTTTCATGGTAATCAATACTATTAGCCGCGTTGTTAAAAAAAAAAAACTTAAATAAGTAACTTTCATTATAGCAAACAAAAACACTTATTTAAATATAAGTTTAAACAATTATGTTTTTTTGGAAGAACTAATTTAAAAAGTAAAGACTGCCTAAAGGTAGACAGCGGGCACAGCTCGTAACCATTATAATAAAATCAAGAGATCCTAATGGTAATGGACGAAATAATATAATAGATTTTCCTTTGTGCTCCGCGAATTGAGCGTAAGAAGTCAAACAAGGTTATAGGCTATGAAAGCCTATCGGAAATAGATTATTATGATCATACATGAAAACCTACTCAAGGGAGCGCTAAGAAGAATCGTAAAATTGAAACGAAGCGTGCACACTTTAAGAGATTATAAAAGGATAAGATCTAAAAGAAGGTACGAAGTTCGAATGGAAAATTCTTTTGCAAATTCAAATTGACGTATCGCTTTGAAGTAGACACGTTTGGTCGTCTAGTCTCACATATAGATACATATAACTTGCAAAATAAACAGCTACGAATATAAAATAATGTGCAATCATAAACTAAGAGTTGCTTGATATCTATACAAATAAATAAAATTGTCTGTTTGTAACATTAAAATAAACTAACTTTTTATTATATGCATATGGATGTATACACGGTACACATACCAAAACAACAATTTAAAAAAAACCAAAAAAAAAAACAGACAGAAAAAAAAAAAAAGAGAGAGAGAGAAAAGGGGGGGGGGGTCGAAAAGCTAAATTGAAAAAATTTTTTTGACTGCATCGGAAAAAAAAAAAAAAAAAAAAAAAAAAAAAAAAAAAAAAAAAAAAAAAAAAGAAAAGAGTTTTTTTTTCCCCCCCCCCCCCCGGCCCCCCAAGGGGGGGGGAAAAAAAAAAAAAAAAAAAAACAACGTCGGGCCGAAGTTTAAAATTATTTTCAAACAAGTTTAACTGTCTAGAAATCTATATCGCATTATTAAACTTATTTGAACTATAACATGATTTTTAACTTCTGGCCGTTGTCAGAGAGGGGGGGGGGGGGGGGGGGGGGGGGGGGGGGGGGGGGGGGGGGGGGGGGGGGGGGGGGGGGGGGGGGGGAAAAAAAAAAAAAAAAATCATTTTCAAATTAAGTACTATTTAACTAATATATTCCCGTTTTAAACCGTTAAAGTGTTTTATTTAACTATAAGCTTTGTTATAAACGTCAATAAACCTAAAGAATGCTATAAAACAGATATTGGAATAGACATTTCATCTAAAGTAAAATATTAAGATAACTGAAATACCTTTATGGCATTATCTTACAGCAAACAATTACTAAATGTTTTCACTCAGCTTCTAAAAGAGCAATAATAGCTTACTCAGCGGGCAACCCCATCCCCCGAGATTAAGATAACGGTTCAAGGAGCACTTAAAACCGATCTATTAATTCCTGAATCTCTTAAGGGTATTACCTAAGTAATATAAGGCCTTGTTAGTGAAGTGAAGAAATAGCTCGCTTTTATATAGACTAAAAACTAGTACGGTAGGGTACAGTACAGGGGAAAGTATAT